AACAAACGACATTATCCCTTCGGGAAGTTATAGTTATGGCAAAAAGTATAAAAGCGTTTCATTGGTTTCTGAATATTTTGGCATATCCTAGAAAAAATAGATGTATGTGTGTGTGTGTTTGGATAAAATTTATGTCCACGACTTCGAGAGTACGGATCAACCGATTTGAATGATTCAAAAGGCATTCGATTCCTATTAATGGGAAGACGTGCTTACTAATTTTTGGCAGAGGCTCGTTCACCCATTTCGAAAAAATACAAAAACACGGTAAAAATACAAAATAGCAACTAAGTTTTGAAGCGAATGAAGCATCTCATAAAAATGATTTATAGAGCATTTTATTTCTATTGACGGAATGAATAATAATTGATTATCATTTTGGGAAGGTCGATCCAGCGGTTTCGGAAGTGCAAAGAAAAAGTAAATGTACAAAATAATTTTTGGACATATTCACATCAAATTATCAATTATAGAGATTTTAATAATAAGTACAATATTTTTGTCGATTTCTGAGGGTTCCGTACCTAGATTTTGTTTTGCCGACTATTGGCTAATTATGAAAACAGCATAACCCAATTTATATTACTTTTAATACCCGAACATAATCATACATTTTTCCACAAAATAGAATAAGCCCCCATTCTCATGTTTTACAAAATCCATACTGATTAAACCAAACGCATGGAACACTATAACTAATACTATAATTAACTAATATATAATATACTAAAATATAATAATAATAATAATAATAATAATAATAATAATAATAATAATAATATATGCTTTATTATATATAATTCGCTAACAATTTATAATGATTAAAGTTCACTCACATAGTTCAAAGAAATTTTCTTGACATTTTCGATAGTATAGTTCAACTGATTTGAATGGGTTTCAAAAATGCCTATTTTTTTCAAAAATTTAAAAATTCTAAGAAATCTAACATTAAGTTTTCCAAAAATTCTAAAGCATTTAGAAATTTTAAATTACCGTACGGGAATTTGCCTCATGCCTTGCACCAATAGTTATGAAAGTATAGTATAGTTAAGTATAGTATGGTTAAGAAAATTTAAAACCAGTAAATTCGAAATTAATTCTTTAAGAACTAATTGTAAGTATAGAAAGACGATCCGTAGAAGCAACATCCCGCGCCGGCGTCCCGTTTGGAAATGTATGATGATAACGGCACCGGCCATCACCTCGGCCGTGGATCCGCGTAGCGCAGAGAAGCGGCGACGGCGACGTCAGGCGAGAACATCGCTCCGGGAGGAATCATCATTAGCGGGCACACTACTTACACTCTATACCAGTTATTCCCAACCTTTTTTGGGCCCCGCCCCACCTTGAGGTTTATAAAAACGTTATGCCCCTACAATTTTTTTTTGTTCCTGAAAAAATGTGAATGATACCTTTTAAGATAAAATCGCTATTAAACATCATAAGTGAAGTTTCAGAATAAGCCAACAAACGGAAGTTTCAAACTAATTTTATTACTGTTTTTTCAAAATTTATTTAATGAAATACTTTTTACAAGATTTTATATTAGGTTCTAACTTACTAAACTTTTTGTACATATGATTACATTTGGGTATTTGGTTTCAGTTTCTTCATAAAGCAATTTCTTAACGAGTCTACTTAGCTAGTTGACATTTTCTCAGATATATGTATATATATATATATATATATTGTTAAATCTTTTATAGTTTATCAGATTGGCAACTAAGTAAGTGCGCATATTTTTCTAGAAATTGGTAGTTATCGTAGGCAACTAAGTAAGTGCGCATTTTTGTTAGAAAATCAAAGACAATTTTTGCGTGGAATTAAATAACTTTGTTCTGTGTACCATTTCGATCGATAACCTTTTGTTATTTTCCAAGAAGCATCATTATCCAAAGTTTATAAAACTTCTAGTTTTCATTAGCAAAAACTGAATCAGGCACAGTCATGATTTTTTTTAAATTCAAAGGTTTTAAATCTGATGGTTTGTGATCAGGAATATTTGGTGGATGTGGAGAAGAATTTCAACCAACCTCCAATAACTTTTAAACATTGCCAAATTGTTTCTATTAGCCGAATATTATTAATAATAATATAATTAGGTCGTCCGAAACTTTAACTGGACAATCAGAGCAACATTGAGTGGAAAATCACCAGAATGACATTTTCAAAACCAATTTCAACATAGCTGCTTTTTAAGGCTTCGACACCATAAACAGCACCTATTCTTTGGGAGCATCGTTTTACCCTTTTGCAGAAATAAAAATGCAAAATTTGACTAAAATGCTTGTTCTAATGTTCCATCTTTCAACGCTCTACATAACCGATCAATAAAGTATTATCTACAAATCGACAGCTAAATTTCTTGCATACAATACTACCTCAACAAACCTAAAGAATCATTTGAAGCAATCTAAGAGTAAAAGCCGCACTTAGTGTCAACCTTGTACTATTTAAGGATACAATAAAAATTAGTTTGTTTTTAATTAATCCCATCTTTAGCCATAGTTACTGACAGTTAGTAAAAAAACTCACGTCATATTTATGATTTTTCCGCTTTTAAAGCCTTGTATAAAACTCTTCACATAAACTTAAAGTTTATACATGTATACTTCTTGTGTATATTTCAAGTCGAGTCTTGTCACTGACCTTAAAGCACTTATGCCAAGCAGTCACAAACTTGATTGACCTAATTTTTTTGTAATTTTCGTAAATTGGAATGTAGAAGTTTAATATAATTATGAAGGGCTACTGGAATCGAAAGAATTGTTGCATTCCGCAACATTCTCTTTCATAATGTTTTTGTTAGTTTTATATAAAGTTTATTGCATATATCATTTTCAGATTATAATTAAGTTGTAATTTTATTATAAAGTAATGAGAAAAATTCAAATTCAAGCTAATCCTTTTAAAAAGTCAAGTAATCCCGGCAGAAAAAACTCCGGCACCAGGAAAGCAAGGTTGAAAACTAAAACCGTCTCGGTCAAACCGGGACATCTTATTATTCTAAATCTGAGAAGCATTTTGTTTTTAAATGTTTTACTGATACTATACTATATTACATTATAATCATCAACATTTTCAAATTGCCTCCCTGAAATTACAAATTGGCCCCCGGTGGGGCGTGTGCCCCACGTTGGGAAACACTGCTCTATACACTCTACTCGTAGTACATTACTACTCCATACAACTTTAAAATTTCCTGGTCGGAGAAAGATGAGAAACATAAGTTCAGTCAGCGCTCTGATGCGATCAAAACAACACTGCGGAATAAACGGAACACGTGACGGAGTTGAAGCGAAGCACGCGCGCGAACGATCAGCTGGGCTCGCTTTCCGTTCCGATAGACAAAAATGATTTAATTAGGAGTACGAGGAAACATGTATAAGAGATTTATTTGTTTTGTGAATTATTAGTTTGTGGTGAAAATTGATGCGATTTAATATTGCATAGCGGTAATTTATATTGATAAAAATACATTTATAAATATAAAATATGATTATATTTATAAAAAAAAACAAAAACCTTTTTTTATTATTAACCCTTTGGTGGCGTCCCTTAATCACGTGAGCGAGTTTTTAAGAATTTTTGGACCCCCCCTTTCCCTTGGTGATACATGTTTTTTTTTTTTTTTTTTTTTTTTTCAATAATTATTACAACTGCTAAATTATTAACATCAAGTAATAATGATAAATAATAATATAAATTTAAATAAATAAAAGTGTAAAGGATAAAATTTACATGAAAATAATATCCGTAATATGATTGATACATGGTGATATTCAAAATTACCCCCTCCCCAACATTACCTGTATTTTTAGTTACATGATAAAACTGTGAAATTTTTTATTTTTTTCTGAAAATGTTTGAATTTTTCTAAAAAATAAATACCTGATATCTTACTATACCCCTCCCTCCCCCCACGTGATATTTCATTATTTTTTGTCAAACTTTTTTTTCCTCCCCCTAAAAACCTCCAGCGATAAAATACGTATTAATTTTGCATTATGCGAGTGGAAAGGGTTGATATAAATTAAGTAAAATGACTAATTAATAAAAGCCATATAATATTATACATTATATTAAGTGCAAGAATTTTAAAAAAAAATTAATTCATGCCTTGTTAATTGATAATTTACATTGTCTTTGGCATTTTAACGATTATACATAATAATCAATAATAATATTGTATTATTGATTTTTGATCCAATGTATATTTATTCACATATAACCCAAACCCTTTTTGATGTTTAATGTGATTCTACTTCTTCAATAAAAAATATATATATTCGATTTTTTAGCGCCAAGTTATTTTAATTTTATAATTTTAAATATAAATTAAAAAACCTTGAAATAAATTATAGGTGTTAATAATTTTTTGCTAATAATAACATATAATATATAAATAATTAATACTCATCGTTCTTCTAATACAAGCATTATATGCTGAAACAATTTTCTAAAAGATTGTATGAAGAATAAATATATAATAGTTACATATTAAAATCTTTCAAAGATCAAAAAATGCATTTTTTCATGCATGTTGCTCCTGAATACAATCCCAAAACTACACCCTAAGTTTATTTTCTTTTCTTAGTTTTTTATTGTAATGTTCTTCAAAATGATATCATTAATAATATATATTTTGCATAAATTAATATAAATGTTAACGGAGTTCTTATGAACTTCTAATTTACTTTCAAAGTAAATTAGAAACATTAAAGCGTTTTATATAATTTTCTAAATATTAAAAATCTGAAACTAATTACATGTAGATAAACTGAAATGAATAAATAATTATACCAAAAACTTCGAAATAATATAAACAAATGTGATATAAATTACATTTTCATGATTTCAATTAAAGACTAATTTTATAACAATTTTGTGCTGTGATTTAAAATATGTATCGCAAGAAAGATGTGAAAATGATTGTTACAAACTATTAAGAAAATGAACTATAAAATTGAACTGCTGATTTAGAGAATAATTTAATAAAGATGACTGGTCAAAAGATAAAATTAACAGGTAAGCAAAGAACTGTTATAATTTATATTAATAAATTCATTGCAACCAAAATTTATAAATTTATAAAATGAAGAATTAACACGAAAATAAACTAAGCTCAATACGCTTATAAAAATAATTCGGATTAGGCAATTATCACCAAAATGGCTAACAATAAAAACTTATTGCTGTCAACACAACAATCTGAAAACTTTATTGATTATGCCAATATGATAGTATATTCTATAGTACTAATTAATTGCGATGATATTAATTTGTGAAAACTATAATTCTGTATGTGTTTGCTATAATAAATATCAAACATTGTAAGTCAAATTGAACACTTTACTGGTTTAATCATATAAGTTTCAGAAAACTATATATGTATATTAATTATTGAATTAATTTGCATAAACAACCAGATTGATAATAGTGCAATAAAAATCGTTTGAATTTTGTTTGTATAAATTTAGTATTAGAAAAAAGTTTACACTATCTCAATGGCATGCAAAATTTTTTTCTTTCTTTATATTTTTAACAGCAATCAGAACCTTACGTCCTGTGAGCTGTTGGGCTGAAACTTCTCCTTACTTCGTATTTTTAGATGGTAACCCAATGGTTAATCCATCCATATTTGATGATTTTTATTATTAGATAGAATCTAATAGGGCTGACTTTTTATTGGTGCAGCAATGCTGGTTATTTTCACTTGGAAACATATTGCTATCTATATTTCCAAGTGAAAATCGTTGTCACTGCTGCCTGACAACAGGCTGCTCGAAGTGGATATCGATGCAAAAATAGTACATTAATTAACTACTGCTAATAAGTATCTACTATAATTTATTATTGTTGCAAATATTTAATAAAAACCAAAGCTATCGTATTATATTTTATTTTTTTCATCTTGAAATTCTTACATACATTTGAGGATATATTTGTTACCTTACTATTAGTAACAATTTTTTTACCTAGTTACATTGGCCGGATATTTCATGTAAAAGGTTAACTTGTAAACAGGAGACGTAATAACTGATTTTTTTTATTACAAATATTTAAATCAAAGTCATTCCAACAAATAGTTCTATCTGATGTCTGATTTAAATATTTCATTTAAATGACTTTCCGACCTATACCAATATTTGTTATTATGCATGCCCCGTTCAAGAACCCGCTCCTCACGAATATGTCGATAATAGCCTAGGTACATATTAGGAATCATTTATTTACACATCTGCGTGTCTTACACCAGGGATTTAACACCAGAGAAATAATATTACCGAAGTATTATAAAATACATCGTACACTTATACTTTCATATATGAACAGTTTTAATGGTACTATGCAATCTCCGGACAACTGTTTGCATACCATTTGAGTCCATTACTTTTATGATTTATTCAGATTTAATTTAGATTAATCCAGATTTAATTTTGATTAATGACATAGTATTAAATAATAAAGTTTATATGTAGATGTGTATATTTGAAACGTAAATTATTATTTCGAGTGTAGGTTATATTATCTGGATTCTTGAAAATGTATTAAAAATTATACAACCCAGCCACGTTCATTTATTGTTATTAACTGTCTCTTAACTTTAATTGGTATTGTTATTAACAATGCCAATACGCAAATATTTAAAAATAAACTTACATCGTGAATTGAGGTTTCTGGTGAATTTGATGAATGACATCATACAGAAAAATCGAATTAAAATATATAAATATATATCTATGATCGTAAAATCCTCAAATAGTAAGTATAAAATATAGTCCACAAATTAAGTCAATGACAAAGAAAATAACAAGGAAAACCACAGATTATTTCTTAAGCCAGACAATTTGTTTGACTGAATTACCAAGTTATAAGAACATGTATTTTAATGAACATATAATAAATAAAATTTAATAAAAAGATTATATAACAATTATAAAAAATATCTTAATAAATGCAGAAAAATATAAAAAATAAATGTCAGAATTTCTATTATCATTAGAATTTTCGGCAACTTTTTCGAAATCCAACGTTTACTGATTTGAATTACTGAGCATTGAGATACGAATGACTATGATCTTTTTTTATAGCGATTTGATTTTATACAAAATAATATAACTTAATCAAGTTTTGTGCATCTCAAACTCCTTGTTATTATTATATTTACTAATGATGTTCCCGAACTATTTTTCTTTCTCTTGTTTAATTTTCAATATCAATCAGAATGCAGTACAATTTTATGAGCTATTTGGCTTATGTCATTCACTCACACACATACACACACACTTTCAAACACACATATAAATCAATGTAAATATTATATTGATAGTTAGAAAATCACTTTAATAAATGATTCTACTATTCTGTTTGTATAAAGTTGTGGTAGTTCTGAGGATCTTCAATATTATCTTTGAGCAGCTTATTCTTCAGTCTTCTTGAAATTTGCGTCTCAAGAAGCTGAGTGACTATAGAATTTGAATGATGTTCTAGTTTATGAAAATGTTTGACACTGTTGATTTTTATAACAAACTCTTTTTATAAAGTCAATAAGTCAAGATCGTCGCAAGGTCTTATTGCTTACAAACCATGGAACATCAGTAATCTGTTCGATTTGCTTGCACAGCCCCACAATTGTTTGCTGTAAGTCCATATTGGTTTTATTACTACCTTGTAAATCAGAAGTATATTGGCAGTAGAAAGCATTGACTTGCGTCTTAGAAGCCAGTATAGTTAGCGGTTCAAATTTTTATAATATTTAATTTTGCGCAAATAGGGTCCTTCCACGTCAGTCCCAAACTATTTGATGGTAAGATATTACAACCAAAGCAAATATATAATCAAAGTTTACATAATCAGCTACGCCATCAATTTGACATGTATTTGTAGAGATAGGTATATGTATACCACATAAATTGCAAAATTTAAGAAATTTATCAAAATTATAATTGTATATATAATATCTAATAATTGGATTATAAATTTACAATACAAGTTAGTTAAAATCAGTACTATGATTTTTTTGAGCATTTTATTTCGAATTATCGAGTTCCGTCAAATTGACGGGTCCCGAAAAACCAGTGCTAAAGAAACATAAAACAATAGTGTTGAGGAGAGACAAAGAAAAGGTTGCGAATCTCTGATTTCCAGATTAAAATGATGTTCCCGAATATGTATTTATGTTATTACTCCCACAACCAGTTCCGTATATGTGCGAGCAGGTCTCTGATAACTGACCTCTCCCAATTGGAAGTAATGCACTGAATTTTAATACCTTACACGGCGAGTAGGTTTTTGTTTTTGCCTTCTTATAAGCGGCACAGAAACATTTAGGAAAAAAGTGGAAAAACTAGTTAAATTACGTCAATTACGCATGCTTGAGCTGAATCTGTGTTTTTTGGTCAATCTCCGAACCGCATTGTTTTTGTTCCTTGTTTTAGGCATAATATGATAGTAATAGTTTATTCTGGTTATTGTTCCGGTTATTATAAGTAGTATGTAGGTTAGATAAAAGGCGTTTTTAATCCAGATTATATGTTGTCTATTTTGAGTGATATCAGATTATCTAAATTCAGGTTTATTATCAACAATTAGGTCTATCACACTGTTCTAAACGTTTATATATATATATATATATATATATATATATATATATATATATATATATATAATAACTTCCCATGCAGTTTTCAAATCTCTTTTAAATATTCCGAATAAGAGTAATTAAGTATATCCGTTAAAAGTGTACAATTTTTCGGGTGATTTGAGGGTGCTATTTACGTTCATATTTCTGAATGATCACCAAAAATCTCGATAATATTTCGACGATAATAGTATATAGAAATATTATAAAAGCACTTACCTTGCCAGCACACAGAAGAAATTTCAACTTCATAAATAATTCAAATTTGCAGATTCCATAAGACTTCTGGAACTATTTACCAAATTTTATCAGTCTGGCTGGTGCACTTCTAAAATAAAAAATACAATATGAAATTTTGACCTATGCAATATAAAATATTATTTGATATAATAAAATTTTAAGCATAATAATATTTAGTAGGTATTATAACAGTACAATTCTTTCTTCATTCAAAATGGGGCACATGCAATATTCTAATAAAATTTCGATATTGATAGATTAATAGTAAATATATAATATCATAAAATTAAAATATTTTTTTAATAAAACAGTTATGTATGCAGAATAAGGATTTTTTTTATTCATTCGATACTATACAACATTCACAGTTATTGACAGAACTCTAAGTTATAGCGCTAAGTTACACATTAAAAAAATCACAGATAGAAATAAAGGAAAAGAAAAAATAATAAATAAATAAATAGACATCACAAATAAAAAAAAAAAAATAAAATAAAAAAACAAAAATGTGTAATTGCTTCATTAACCAATTGTCTATGAAAAAAAAAATTACAATAAGTTTAATGGTAGTTTTTTGTGTAGTATATGAGGAAATAAAATTGTATTTATATAAGTTTATATTCTAATAAATTAAGAATATTAAAATGAACGATAATTCAGGGTAAAATCCCAATTTGAAATTGTATGTAATCGTAATTTTCGAGATAACAGACTAGCTCATTTATAAAATGATAGAAGCAATAAAAAATATTAAAAATAAAAATCGGTTTAGATTAGAAAATACTTTGTGTTCATTTATTACATTATAGAGCTTTTTACATGTTACAAATTTACATTTATTTTTAAAAATAAAGAAAATTAGCTATATTCATCTGTACTGATAAATGATATCATCTTGTCCTAGTAGACATTATATATGTATATATGTATATATATATATATATATATATATATATATAAGTAATATTTTTAATTTATGACAAAGACATTCCTGAAGTTACATTTTCTTAAGTTTTGACACTACACTTAATTGTTCTTATTTTCATTTTTAATATTTACTTAATGAAAAGAGCTATTGATAGCTCCCTATGCATAGGATGCGCGTTATCTCTAGAAATTATAGATTTAGCAGATCCTCAACTTT